GTTAATCATGTTATAACATTTAATTAATTTTTTATTTGTTGCAACATAATAAAATAATTGTTGTTACCATCTTTAGTGGTCAACCTTCTCAAACCAATGATCAAAATGTGGTAACCAGACCAGTTCTAACATATTGATATAAGCAAATTTATTTTCTATAAAATAATATATTCCAAATCTTAAAAAGAAGAAGGAAAAAAGTGATAAGGAATATGAAGCACTTATAGGTTTATTGATGAAAATCAGTATGTATTTTAGTGAGGAAAAAAATGAATATTCTGCTAGTGATAGACCAAAAGATACTTCTATCAGCATTATTGTATGTTCTCTTAAGGATAGTTAGAATTTTTTTATTTGTATTTTTTCAAATGGGTTCTGATAACATTTTTATTTCATAAATAAAGTACTATTTCACATTCTTATCATCAAAAAATTGATCAAAAATAATATGTATCCTAGGCTATGTTCTGAACCTTTGTATTTATTTTTTGCATGTATTAATAAATCTTGTCTTTACATTTGCAACATAACATTGAATAATTCCCATATTGTATAAAAATACTATCAATTATGTCATCTGAGCTTGATCCATTAGAATAAGAAAAAGTTAAGCTTTTGGTTAGAAAAGCCAAGCTTGAAGCTGTGAATTCCAAGATTAAGGTTATGAATGCTATCAAAGCTGATTTTGAGGCCCAGATAGGCAAATTAGAGCATCTTAGTTTGAACATCCAGATCATCTTGATATTTTGAGGCTATAATTATTGAGATCAAGGCTCAGAATGCAAAAAATAAATCAATTATAGAAGAATATGAAAAGGGACTGGAGTGCAAGAAAAATCGCAAATTCCAGACTAGATGCTTCCAGATAGCTAAAGAAATTCTTAATGAGGAACCTATGATGGAATATCGCCCTTCTTTCATGCAAGGATTAGAGCTTTGTTTCATAGCACCAGCTGGTATAAAGATGTCAAAAAACTCGAGAACATCGTTAATCGTGATCGGCAAAAGAGGTGCATTTGTCTAGATAATGGAATTTTTTTTATTGAGGTATGGTATGATCAAAACCTGGAAATTGTTATTCCGGATAAGATACGAAAATTTAAGGAATTCATCAATCAAGCATCCAAAAGGTTCGATCTCCTATAATCAATAACCTTATATTGCACACAATTCATTTCTCTCAAATTTAGATATTTAATTTTTATTCGCATATTCTAAATTTTAAATTAACGGTCACGACTCAACTAACCCGGAATGTGATTATCGCTTTGAGCATTGCATCTATTGTTCGCCCATATCGGGCTTTATTTTTTAACCATGTGCATGTGGAATTGAGATAATAGTAAAGTCACATTTATTTTGCAATAAAGAGCATCAATTGTAAATTTTTTTTATTACTCTTTCTACAAATTTACACATCTACATTTACTAATTGCAGATTATAATAAAGAATATATACAAACAAGAGATGTTAAAAGGTACAACGGTTATTAAAATAAACATCTAAAAAATAGACATATAATGAATGATCGCTAAAGTAAGCCACTGCTCTAAACCATCTTCCTCGGAGATGTCTTAAAATCAAGCGATGATAATTTTGGTAAGATTAAGCAATATAAATATCCTTCTTTGTGAACTACATCTCCAACATTAACTGGAGGATTCAAACGCAACTCCTGACCATTAAATTCCCTCATGACGACATTCCTGTTTCGCCCGATGATTTTGTTCAACCGATTTAGTTGGCTCCAAATTTCTTATCATTTCTCTCTCAGATACCTTGTTTGGACCGGAAACCTTGCCTGATCTAAAACCTTTACCACGATGTTTATTGTATTTATGAAATTTGGTGGTTTGGGTTCCGCTTGTGGAAATAGTAAGCGAGCTTGTCTTCCTGGGCCCTATCCGACGTATAAAATTTATTTCCATCATCATGTCCTCCGTGAGTTTGGCTTTATTGATCAAATAAAAATTTACTAAAAATACCTGTTGATCCTGAGTAAGTAACGCCAGCGCCATTTTCACGAGCTTCACGTTCACGAACTTCGGATTTAATAAACTCTAAGTTTAGATCAAAATTTCAGTAATACTTCCAATTTATTTAGGCAATGTAAAGGTTCTATCTAAACTTCTAAATAATTATAATTACCTAAAACTTCTTCGTCTTCTTCGAATGGGCACCCGTTAGCAAACCACTCTGCTAACGCAGTTCTATTGACAAGTTTTTTCTCCTGCTCTAACTCGAATATTATTTTATCAGCCATCACTTTATCCATTTTATCCAATTTGTCCACTTTATCAAAAATTTAGGTCAATTTCAAAAATTGAGTCGTGACTTATGTCGTGTAACTGCAGAAACTCTGTCATACTTTATACCATAGAGCTAATCAAACTTTTTAAAGGCTTTATAATACTGAAATTTTCTTCTTTCGATGAGAAATATGGACCTTATGGAATGATAAAGATTCTTTTGACGTGGTTTGGGTTAAGAACGCATACGTTATTTACTTTTTTGCTTTTTTGCTTTTTTAGTTTGTTGTTTTTGGTGGGTGGGTTGGGTAAGAACGTTAAAGATAGATGTAAGTCACTTCTTATTTGCTTTTTTTTTTATATTTTGTCGTTTTTTTCTTTTTTTTGGCGTGATAGGATAAGAACGTAAGAAGGTATGTCACATCGTTATTTGCTTCTTATTTTTGGTGAGTGGATTGGGTAAGAACGTTAAAGGTAAGAGGTAAGCCATTTCATTATTACTTTTTTAAATTTTTTTGATTTTGTTGCGTGTGGTTAGATAAAAATGTAAGAAGGTATTTCATCTCTTTATTTGCTTCTTTTTTTGTTTTGTTGTTTTGGATATGGGGCAGCATGATGCTACGCATGGGTGGGGGCGTGGCATGCTTATCTTTGGTAAGCCCGTGGGTACCCAGTTTTCTGGCAGTCTCATGGTAGGGCTGGTCGGGTGTTATCTGAAGCGGCATAGTACTGTGCGAAGGGAAGGAGCATAGACGCTTACATTTTGTAAGCCTGTGGGTACCAGCTTTTCTGCTGCAGTCTCATGGTAGGGCCGTAGTACAATTCTTTTTTGAACCTTTCCTTATAAAAACGAATATTTTAATTGAACTAACGGAACTTACGAGATTCTTAATTGGCGGGTCGGTGTACTTTTATTATTTACCAATAGAGAAAAAAATATATTGTATTCAATAAAATTTATATTTTAAATAAAACTTTTAAACATGAAATCAAACACAAGCAAAAAGTATTATTTTTAATATTTTTTCTTTTCCTAATGAATTGCGATTCTGGATTGCTTTTTGACAAGTTTAATTCGTAAAATAAATCGTAAATAAAAAAAAACAGATCAGTTGAGAATTATTTCTTGAAAAGGTTTTTTTAACCGCATTCAAATTTAATTTGAAGTTTATTGCAGACATCAATGAATTCTAGACTATTTATTATTATAATTAATAAACTAGACGACCCACCCGTGACCCGTAAGGTATATCTTTTGAACCCGGTCCTTATTTTAAACCCGATGTGCTCTGAAGATTGGAAGCATTAATATATTCGTATCATATACCTACCGAACATGTTTGATCGAAAATTCCGATTTATGATTTTAAAACATAGTTTTGAAATGTCTATAGATGGAAAAGTTCTATTGATGATTGGTGAAATTACTTCACGATCTCATAAAAATGAGAGTTTATTGATGAAAAATGAATAAAGTTTGTTTTTCATGCCAAATAATTTATAGTGAACTGCGCCTGCGACAAATTTACACTTTTAATTAGCAGATGATTCAATTATTATTATTCTACGTGTTACCATGCAAACTTCTTGTTGTTGCTTCCATAGTTGATGTTAAAAAAATAAAGTGTAGAGTGAGGTTATTGAGAAATTAAGCCGACTTATACGGTATAACAAATTTCACATTGTATTTAGATAATTTCAATAAAGAAAATAAAAAGTGACAAATTCATTTTTAATGCATTGTATAAAATAATATTTACAAAAAAAAAATCACGTAAATCAAAGTATTTATGATTTATGAGATATTTGAAATGTTGAAAAAACATTATCAGGTAGCAAAAAATTAGTATAGCTTTATTATTATTATTTTTTTTTCGATATTTTTAATCTCAACAGAAGAATTCTGTACGCATCGCACTTTTTATAATTTCGCTTAGAACTTCTGAAAATCCTTCAAATTTACGCTTTAACATAACTTATAAATGAAAGCCAGAAATTAGTCAGCATCGCAAAATAATATTTCAAATAGTTCTTCAAACCTGTGTAATAATTTTTTTACACTTCTAAATTTATTGCGAAAATCACAAAAGTATTTTTCATTAATTACTTACCTTTAAAAATGTGCGATTGTTTTAGCAGGTCCAAGAGTTAAAAAGCTCATTTTGTGTCAAATTAAGGAATGCTTGACCGGAGACCTCTTGGTTTTTAATGAATTCAATCTCGGAGTAGTTGAAATAACCTCATTACCTTTCGTAGATGGGGCAATTACGGTGGGCTCAACACCTTTTATAGAAACTATTTTGTCGATGCTTCCTCACAAAACAATACTTGTAACACTACTTTACTTGTAGACAGTTCTAAAGAAGGGTGATATTATTTCCTCAGACTTTCCTTTATCTTCCACGTACCGACATTGATAGTTTGAACGTCCTCATTTGGAGCTAATTTTTGCTGAATGAGTAGAGATTTTTTTTTCTTTTTTTCTCGATATTGTTGGCATCGTTAAGGTTTTTGCATAATTTTATCGTCAAATTTTTGGAAAAACGTGATGACTCATGGAATATACAATAAGTATTTACTCGATTTGATCTATGGCAATTTTTGATTTGATGATAAATAACTAATTTTCCGGACACACTATTGTTAGGACGAAATTACTAATCATTATATACATATAATAGATCAATTACGGTGCTATCAACAATATTTATGCGCGACTTACCTCTAAATTTCGTTTTCAGAAATGATTAGATTCCGGATATGAAAAATGTCATTCAAGCTGGTATATATTTTACATCTTAGACAGTAATCATGTCAGATAAATTTCAGCGAAATTTTGCTTGTTTACTTTTTTTTCAACTTTCATCCTTACCTTCACGTCATTATATTTTCATTGCTTCTTATCCCTGAGCGACCCGTTCTATGCAACCCTTGTTATTAATAACTTGCCTATTAATTTTCCTACTTTTTCGTTTCTTTCAATACAGAAAATAAATCTTTTTGATTTTTGTTATCATTACATTTATACTAAATATTATGAAAGTGCTAATTAATGGGGTTCTTTTTTTTGATTTAGGAGTAAGTTTTTTTATAATAAGGAAGGCACTCCTCCATAACTAGTAGACCTTAATGAAAACTTTACGAGATTAGTCCTTTATGGAACCAGAATGAATCTCATTCTCCATAAATGCTAACCGGTTCAAACAGAAGTCACAACGGTATAAATCGTTAATATAAAAATAATATATACATATATATATAAAAGTGTTTTGGAGAGTATGAAGTTAACTATAAAAAATCATTTGTTATAAGTGTAAAGAGCATCGAATAATGCTAAAAGTTTAGAACTTTATAAAAGAAATTATTTTTAATCATTTGATTTTATAAATGATTGATTGTAATAACGCGTTTGTCTATTATAATCCACCCTCTTGGGCAAAGGATTCTAGATAAGTGAAAATGGTATTTCGTTTACTGTCATAATTCTTGACCACCAGTTTGTTCAATAAACTGCTCCTTATGGAGGTTAGCAAGTTTCGAAGAAACAATGTAAATAAATGATAATTTTAAATAGGATATAGATAAAATTAATGTCGCCCTTAATTTCTTTTCAATCGTAGGTAAACATGTCACTTTAAGAACGAAATTGATTGCATGCATAAAGATGTTAGTCTTATTTTTTAAAGATTTTCCATCTTATTAGCCTCTAAATATAACTTGACTTGATAAGTCTGTAAAGTTATTAACATTCAGATTCAAATCAAATATTTTTATTATTAAAGGGTCTACATATATAATTATGGTTCTTCCTTTAAGATTTATTTAAATTTTTTAATAACAGACATTTTTTGAAAATTAAAATCGATAAGAGGTTAAGTATTCAATTACATAAATTTATTACAAAATTATTTTACAAATATTGAATGACATTTAGATTAGATTTTGATATACAAAAATGAAGAATCTAATATTTTAAATCTTTCTTTCTTGAAACATTAAACCACAAGAAAACTTGATATCATTCGTAAAGATATAAAAAATAAAAAACTATTTACATCAAATCAACATTTAATTATCTTTATCGCCACCTCCGAATGTCTCTTTCAACGATGTTTGACCCGAACCTCTAGCTAAAGGTTTTGGCTGTGAACTATCGGGTTTCCATCCAATCTAGATTAGGATCAAAATAAATTAACGTGATCTTAAAGGAAATAACTATTCTAATTATACAACGATATATTTACCATATAGATTATCTATTAAAAAAATAAAAAGATATTATTTTAAGATAAAATTTAATAATTTTTTTTTAAAAAAAAAGCTATAATCACATTACCTGAAAAGTTGCAGGAATTGACTCGGAATTTCCATAAAGTTCTTTGAGAGCAATAATTAATTTTTTTTTTTTAAATTAATACATGGTATAATTTGAAATAAAATCTCCTATAATTTAAAATTACCTTGATAAATGGCGGAGGCGGATATCATTGTGTCTCTTTTAAGGAATGGTCTCCTGGTCAAGACGGCATTACTTTCACCCATGGCTCTCAAATCATTCATCAACTCAAACATGCTAGGAAAATTCACAGTAATATCATCAATATCTATAGTGGTCAAAGTAAATCCCGCACGAGACAATAAATTTCCCACATCTCGTACTTCAGTCATTGGAGATATTCTAGGTGAAACACCACCTTCCCTTTCTAATTCTGCGAGTTGCATTGAAGTTCTAAGTTCAAATAATGTATCACCACCAAACATTGATGCAATAAATACTCCATCGGGTTTTAATGATTTACGAATCTGAATCATGGCACCAGGTAAATCGTTGACCCAATGTAAAGATAGATTACTTAAAACTGCTTCTAAAGAATTCTCTTCAAAAGGTAATAACTCTTCATCAATGACAATTCTCTCAACATCAACATCATAATCAACAAATCTATCCCGTTCCAACATTTTTGATGACATATCACACATAATTAACTTTTTCATCATGTCTTTATCAACATGTTTGATGATATGTCCGCATCCACTACCTAAATCCACAATTTTATTAAATTTTCTTTTAATGTCCTGAAACAAACATATAAATTATAATTATAAATTATTGTAAATTTTGAAATTTCATTAAATGGAGGTGATTAAAGATTTTACCAACAACCTATCAACGATTCTATAAGCAACTTCATCTTTAAGATAATCGACTTGCCTACTAAGTTCAACATCTATCGAAGCACGATCTCTTTGTATTCTTTTCGTTTCTCGATTAAATACCATATAAACTGATGGTTCTGGTTGTAGCTTTGCCGTTGTAGCATATCTTTTAATATTTTTAATATAAGATGAATTGAATTTTTGAGTAAGAGATCTAAGAAACATTTTTTCAATATTGATTTGCGATAAGATCAACGTCGTACTTGTCAATTATGCAATGATCACGCTATAATTAATTACACACGTGATCTCAAATTGCGCTAATCTTTTTCTAACTAGAATTTTAGTAGAATAAATAAAAAGAAAAAGCATTTATTTGAAAAATTTGCTACTTGATAAGTGATAAGAAACGCGAATAAAAGAAATTACTTACTACTACAGGTGATTTTCTAATATCGTTCATAATTTCTCACATCAAAAAGGGGTTGATATTGAAATTTGGTTAAGCAAAAGCTTCCGCTACACAATTTAACATGAACCTCATTTTATGATCTTTGGTCAATATTGTTTTTTGGCAGTTCTAAGAGTTATATTAATACCCATAAGTTCATTTTACGTCAAAATCAGGAGATGCATAGCGTCAGACGTCAAGAATCAGATCACTTTTTGGATTTTACTTCTCACGCAAATATTGTATGATTTCAGGAAATTCGCCCATCAACTCGATTACAACTTCATACATCAATGGATCAATACGGATTTGCGGCACAGCAATAATTCTACAAGAAAATTATAATTATTATATTATTGTACGTGCAAAGTATAAACTTTAACGTTAAAGAAAGGTAAAGTTTATTACCATCCGTTTGTTCTATTTATGTTAGAAATGAAAGAAATGATGTCAGTAAAACTAACAATGCAATTGGAAAAAATAATGGACATAATTTGTACTAAAGTATTACTTGGCAAACTCGGCCGAATTGGAATCGGTTAATTTTGTGAAGAATTTTTTTTTTTGATTAATGGTTGTCAAGGCATTAGAGATTAGGCAATAAGCATTAAAACAAAGTATCAAAATAGGAAATGATCGAGGGTTTCCTTTTTTGGCCATACGTTAATTGTGCCGATCATTTACACTCGATGATCAAGAGTTATTGAATAAACATCTGTTCCCTATCTTTACTTAGAGGATCAAGAAGGGTTCATGATAACGTATAACTAAGAGTCACGTGTTGTCCTTTTTTAATAAAATGCAAAATAATCACGTGAAAGTTGAAATTTTCATATCATTAAAGGTATTTATCACAATTTCGAATGAGAAATTAATAATTGACCTCTAATGATTTTATAAGTTTTTATAAGAGATCATAAAAAATTAAAAACATCGTCGTTTCTTTCATCAACACAACCGTACGTCCTAAATAAACCTACATTTTAATATTACTATCTTTTCTGTTAGCATTTTCAGTCTTGCTCCCAAAAATCAAATAATTATATCAATTGAATTTCGAAATTCTTTTTTTTTTTTTTTTTTTTTTTGGTCTTTACACATTAAATCTCTTTAATGCTAAAAAGTTTTTTGTCTGCTGAATGTTTCGGATCTGTAATTTGTTTAATTTCTTGAAATTATCTTGTCAAAACATTTAAAATTTAAAATTGGCACTGACAGGCGTTTTAAAAATTTAAAGTTTAATGAAAATGTAAATCATCTTAAACCTAATTGTCCTAATTTTTTTTTCCTGAAAATCACGCAGTAACTTTTGTGTTTCCAAACCGCATTAAGAAAACCGGGATGAATCGAACGAGTTTTTAATTAGAATTAAGCCAATCAAACCCGAGTATATTGTTGTGTCTGATCATTTCCAAAATGTTTAAATGCGGGAAAATTATACCCTTTTCGCCAAAATATCACGAAAGATAAATGTCTGAATATAGTAAAAAACGTAGAGCCGAAGACAATTACGAAAGTAAAAAGCGTAAGGTAGAAAGTGATACTTCAGGGGACGAATATGAAGTAGAGGCAATAGAAAAACATAAGTGCGTAGATGGTAAATACTTTTACTATGTCAAATGGAAAGGTAAGCAAATTCAATTTTTTACTACGTTATACTACGTTAGTAACCTTGTTTTAAAGTATTGAAAAAGAATTTTTGTTTTAGGTTATGATGAAAGAACTTGGGAACCAACTTCAAACTTGAATAATTGTTCGGAAAAATTACAAGAGTATAAGTTATTTATTAGAGGACAACGTCAAGAACAGAATAAAACTAAGAAAGGCGAGCATGATGATGATGCATCAGCGACGACTAAATCCAATAATCAGAGGGTAGTTTCCAAAAAAGATGCAAAAACGATTAATTATAAAAAGGTATTCATCGAATTCTAGATAGTTTTTAAATTCGCATTTAATATTAATTAAGATTTGTATCTATTTGATTATCTAGTTTTCTAATGGTTCAAAATACAGTCTTCCCATCGCTTTTAAAATTTCAAAAGGAGATGCGGCGAATAATGGCCAGATTAATAATACATACAATAAGAAAAATGATTCAAAGGATAATGGCCTTGCGGATTTTACAAATTCGGTTGCAATGCCGTTAGAAGTAAGGTTGCCTCCATTTGGACCTGGCGATCAATCAATTAATTCTACCAATAAACCACCAAAATGGTATGGAGTTATATGTAGGAAAAGAAATGAAGAAGAAATGAATATAGGAAAGGTACAAATTACAAATTATACTGGGGATTCATTGGAAAATTTTCCTTATTCGTAAGTTTTAATTAATTAATTAATTTTATTTATTAATTTTTTTTTTACGAATATTGAAAGTGATATTAAGGAAATTTTTTTTTTAAAAAAAAAAAAGGAAGCAATCCAAATTAGTTATCAATCGATTTATATCTAATAATGATTTAGAAGGGTTTCTTAAGGATTCCTTCAAAAAATTCCATGTATACCTCGTGACTGTTTCAACTTCCTTAAAAGATGAAATATCAGAGTTAGACAGACTTCAATCTTTTCTATTAAAAAAGCTCAAGGTGATAATTATTTATGATGATGATTCGTAACTTTTTTTTTCTTTTTTTTTTTAACTAATTATAAAATGATTTTAATTTATACAAGGTTGGAGTAATAAATACGGAAAGTTTGAACCTTTATTTATTACCAACTTCAGAAACATCTAGTGAGCTTCTTGATGTAGAAAAGCCAAGTAACGTTAATGATCTTTACTTTATACTTCAATTACATAAGGACGAAGTATCTAATTATTTGAAGTCGCAGTCTTCGTCAATAAAAAAGTACAAATCGACTAAATCTACTAAACAGTTGACATCTCATGAAGCGCAACAGAGTAATTTACCACCAAGTTCGACATCACCACGTCAACCTAATCAAAAAAGTTTCAATTCAAATCTTGAGATTTCTAGTAATTTGGATTTACAATCTCCAACAAAAAAACACAGTATGCCTTCATCATCATCATCACGCCCAATGCAGTCAAGTGTTCAACTAAATAAGGAAATTTCTAATAACTTGGATATACAACTTCCATCACCTAAAAGACACAAGAGTTCTGCCGGCAAAGAGCTGTATAAAGTTCAACAAAAGAACATGTTACCAACTATACAATCATTACGCCCAACGCATTATTTGCCTAAAGAGATACCTAAAACCATTGTTGTGGACGAGCCTGTGAACTTCTCGATTAATTTGAATGAATTTGATGGTCAGAACTTTACTGTTATTGGATTAACGTATGTTGAAAATCAAAAAGTTATTACGCACTTAAAAAAGATGGGTAAAAATGAAGTGCATGCTCAGGACCCTTGTATGGATTGTATAATTGTAAGTAAATTCTAGTTTTTCCCTTTGCTTTTTTGTTAAAATTTCTCACGGAAAATCCATTGTTAAAATTAATAATATTTTAGTTTCATCAAAATGAGCTCGCACGGGGAATTTATTTTAAAAATAACACAGTTTACAAATACAACCAGATTAAATTTTTCTTGATCTTCAATGAAAATACTACATTAACACTTCGAGAGATATTTAAGACGGGTAAATTAATCTTTAATTTACAATAGGATGAATGTTTAACTTATTAATTAAGATTGTTATTATTCCGATATCTTAGGTGGGGTTATTCTATTAACTTCGGTAGCTATCAAGAGTACTGAGGACATCGTTGATAAAATCTTGCGCTTTACAAATGCGGTAAAATTATAATTGAAGTTATTTTAATTTTGTTTATTGTTATAACAATAAATTAATTGATTTAATATAATTTAGGTTAATGGGTGGGATTTCAAGATTCATCCTAATATTTTGAATTATCTTAAAAGGTTATTGACTTTTTTATCCGATAATGAGTTCATGAAAATAAGGTATGTATTTATTTTATGTTAAATATAGAAATTATTTTGATTTGATCGTTAATATAAATATATATGTTTATTTATATTTATAGATTAGAAAAAGCATTTAAAGGCATAGTGGATGGACTTATTTCTGGTAAAATTAAATATTTGCTACCAAATGAGATGGTGAATATAACAATATTTACTAAATGTAACATATTCTAAATATATACTTTTAAGATATTAATCAATTTGGCGTTATTATATTATAGTCATTAGATGATTATGATATGGATTCAGATAGAATTACTTTTCGTTCAATGGAGTGTTTAATAAAAGTTCATTACGATAAATATCGTCATTTTATTGTAATCGATGAGAATGACGAACAATCTGTAGAGAATGAAAGTAAAGGGGTAACTTTTATCTTTTTTTTCGTTTTTTTTTTTTAATTTTGGTATTTCAGTTTATTAATGTTGTTTGTAATTATTACTAGATCGAAACTATGTCTATCGAAAAGTTAAAAAAAAAATTTGAAGTTTAGAGAAATAATGTTAAACAGTACACACACAGTATTGTAACGAAAAAAGAGTCATTATAATGTAAAAATAAAAAAATATTTTGGGTTTATCAAAAAAAAAAAAAAAAAAAGCAAGCTAATATATTTATATATATTGTTTATTTATGTTAATTACTCTAACAATTAAAATCCTTTCCAACATTTAGTACATTTTAGTGTAGGTTCTATTGTGTTAAGATTTTTGTGTTCGAATAACCACTACACGTTGACTAATAAAAAAATAATTCCTCATGTATTAAGGGTGTGTAATAAAGTTCCAAATCATTTATCCATATTTATATGAAAATTTCTTTCGATTATCTTTGCATCTCTTTATAATTTCACCATTTTGATTTTTTTGATCTCTCCTTTTCTTACTAAGCTTGATACGTGATTTCTTTTTATCAACATGCTTATTTTCCAAAAAAGATCTTTCATCAAATCTATCATATCTTTGCTTTAAACTTTTAAATTTTTCTCTTGATGATAATCTTTCTTTAATTCTCAACATTTCACGTTCTAACCTCGAAATTGGAAATACAATTCTTTTATAATTAATTCGTTGTAATCGACTCAATAATGGTCTTCGATACCTTTTTATATACTCCATTTCCTTTTTCTCTTGCACTCGTTCTTTTTCTCTAGCATAATTCATCACGGATTCAAAATTCGATTTAAGGGAATTCGCGAATGAATGAAATTGTGGTGAACGAAGTTTGGTGGATTTTAAATAGATAAGGTATTTGATATAAATGTATTTGATGTTGTTTGTCCAAAAGTAATGCGTATAATTATAACAGATGTATGGAATCGTTAAGATCAAATCTTCTGGCATGTCTCCATATGTCGTTAACAATTCTCGAAGACTATATATATATTTTTTGAGAAAAAAAAGGAATTAAAATTTTTTTTTTTTTTATAATGCGAAACAAAAAAGGTTAACAACGCATGCCATACCTTATCGTGTTTTTCATTAAACAAAGTGAACAACAACGAACTTTAAATTGCCAAAAAATCCTACCCAAATATTTATCTTTACTTTCACAAAATGAGCACTTCTTATAATACAATAATTTAAAATAATCCCGTTTACACATCCCTTCTGGTGGGTTCATGTCATCATCATCCTCATCATCTGATGACACGAAAGCTTTCCTAGAATTCTTCCATATCTCTTGAGTAGTAGAAGATTTTGGTGCATCAAGAAATTTCTTGAATCTAACACACGTCTCACTGAGTAAAAGTAATTCATAAGGTGTTAAATATGAACAAATTTGTATTAATATTTCAGATGGAAGAAGTGTTATTTTACATGATGTGTCTTGTAAGATTGATGGATGAACGATTTGTAAATTTTGTTGTGTTGGGTAGATTGATTTATCCAAAGAAACCATTTCGAAATAACATTTCGATATATGAAAAGCAAGAAGGGGATTTTCTTTTTTATTCAAAAAAAAAAAAAAAAAAAAAAAAACGCCAAGAGCTAAACTAAATAAATACCAAATCAAGTTTTAGAAATTGTGCAGCGCAGCGTGAGAAATTTTTTCGGAAAGAAATTGAAAAATGTCCGATTAACAGTATGAATTTAAAATTACTTGTAGAAATTAAAAAAAAAGGGTTCAAAAATGTTTTCTTTGTTCCTTGTAAGTGGAAGGAATATTTGGGTCTTCATTCGAAAAAATAATTCTCTGAGTTCGCCAATGATATGGTACCATAGGTATGGGACATTTGTGCAACTTACGCAACATGAATTCGACTAGCCAATTACTCATAACGATCCATTAGTCCATAAATGATTTCAATTTTTTTTCCCAATTCAGAGGAATTTAAAATGTTAAATCATCATTTGTCAAACCTGTGATCATATTTGGTTAAATGCGGTCAAAATGAAGAGTTCAAGCAAGTCAAAAATTTGACTGAAGTTGATTTTGCCATTTAAACGAGTTTCGCCAAGATTCATATTTCAGTTTCAAACATTTACAAGGTATCCCTGATCGCAATTGAATAATTAAATTAATAAATTACAACTTTAATAATATAATCTAAAGTAAGTAAAGTAAGTCAATTTTTGGTATTTATTAATCAGTAATTTAAAGGATTGAAACGGAATGTCCTAACTATATTTTTCATGAGCATTTTCTTTATTTTTAACCACCTACTTAGGTTAATTACATAACTTGTCGGGACTTAGAATGGCTATTCCGGTCAATATCCTTCGTATAAGATGCAAATAATAAATTTAAAATATTTTTTTATGAAATTTCCTTAAAAAAAGAATATTTTAATATATATGTACTAATACAGTGAGACCTCTCTAAATGAACCCCCCTTGGGACCATAGTGAAAATTTGAAAAAAATGTGTATTAAAGAGGGTGCATTTAAAGAGAGAAAATTAGTATGATCTTTATATACTTGGGGCTGTCTGGAATGTGCATAAAAAATATATATATATGCGTGCATTTAGGGAGGGTGCATTTAGAGAGGTCTCACTGTATATTTATTTTTGTTTAAAAATAACGCGTGTTCTCCTAGCTACATTATTAACCTTTGTAAACTCTTCAAATTATGCTTTTCGAGATCTTTTACTAACATATGAGCGTGTAAAGGGACACTTTTAAAAAAGTGGTTTTGTGTCGTTCAAAAGTTCAACAGAATTACGCACACATGTCTGGCCAATATTACATGCGAGTAGCTAACAGTCATTTTTTTTTTTTTGCTGCTTGCAAACCGTCGTTTATGGATTTTCGTTTTTTTTTCTTTTCCATTAAGCGATGTCGTTAATAATTTAATGAATGAACAATTTTAAGGGTAAAAAATTAAAATCAATTTTAATTATTATTATTCCTACTTAAATAAATAGATATTTTTTTTTATATTGATGTGAACCAACTTTTATTAAATCTTATATTAAGTCTGTAGATAGAATTTGTATTTAAATGTTTGAAATTATTTTAGGAAATTTTTTTTTCGCGTACTTTTTATCATACATGTATTAATTTTTTTGTTCTTTACAAAATGGCTTCTCACCAAACAAATACAGCGAGACCTCTCAAAATGCACCCTCTCCCTAGATACACATTTTTTCAAATTTTCACTATGGTCCCAAGGGGGTGCATTTAGAGAGGTTCACTGTAATAATATAAACCCATAGCTCCAAAAACTCCACAATTACTGAAAGTTACGAAAATGGATGTGAATATGTAATAGATTTAGAAAATGCATATTATTGGTATGAAAAAATCGGCAGAAAATGGTAATAAAAAAGCATTTTATTGTTTACAAAAAGCAGCGGAAAATGGTAATGGAATTGCACAATATCGTTTATCTGAATGTTATCAAAATGGATGGGGAATTGAAATAGATTTAGAAAACGCATTTTATTGGTATCAAACGTCAGCAGATAATGGAAATAAAATTGCACAATATCGTTTAGGTAATTATTATTATTATGGAAAAGGTATCAATAAAGATATTAATAAAGCATTTGAATGCTATGAAAAGTCAGCTGAACAAGAATATAGTAATGCACAAAATGATTTTGGATATTTTTATGAAAATGGTATAAATGTAAAAAAAAATTTAGAAAAAGCATTTTATTGGTATTTAAAATCTGCAAAAAATTTAGCTACTTTTTATCAATATGGTTTAGGAACTAAAATAGATAATGTTGAATCATTTAAATGGTATAAAAAATCAGCAGAAATAAATAGGATATTTTTATAAAAAAGGTATTGTAATTAAAAAAGATTTAAAAAAAATCATTTTACTGGTATAAAAAGTCAGCAGAAAATGAAAATAAGATAGCTTAATATAATTTAGTTAAATGTTATGAATATGGTATAGGAATTAAACAAGATTTAGAAAAAGCAGTTGGATGGCATCAAAAGTTAGCAAAAAATATAAATAAATCTGAAAAAAAATATTGGAAAATATAAAGTTGATAATCAAAATAATAATACAATTGAATTTATTAATAAAATATTAATAATTCAAGTTAAATTTATACCTTTTAATGAATTTACTGACTTAAAACAAATTGATAAAAGCGTGATTTGAAAGTATTATAAGAGTTACTTGGTTAAAAACTAGTAATTATATTGTATAAATGATTAATAAATATAAATACATATATATAATTTATTAAATGTTTTTATTCATGAATTAAAAATTTATTCTCTTAATTATTATATTCAAATTATACAATTTATGAATATTAGTTAAAGTAATTAAATAATTAATTTTAACTTTTTTTTATGTTAATGTATAATTTTGGTAGATTGTTATAATTAGACAGGATATTCAGATGTTAACTTGTTTAATTTATATAATAACTTCACTAAATTTCACTAAAATTTGAATAGTTTTCATAAAGATTTATGAAAGTAAGTAGTTTATTACTAATACTTATAAAGGCTATATTCTATTAAGATTTATAATTTATCATAAGGATTCACAAAGCATGAAGGTTTATAATCTATTATTAAGATTCACAAAGTTTATAAGGATTTATAATTCATAAAGATTGATATATCACACAGACTCACATAAATTTAAATAATGAAATAAAAAAAGTTAATTGATAAAAATATGAAAAAGAAGAAGAAATAGAGAAATAATAAAAGTAAAGAAATAAATAAAATAAGAAAGAGATAAATTTATAAAAATTTGATTATTACAGTTACTCTATATATTTTAAGCTACTGTATTTATATATTTTGTAATACATATAATGACAAATTAACTATATTAAATAAATAATCTATATAAAATATATTACATATTATAATCCAAATGATCTTCAAGAATTAAAAAATGTGACACAGTAAAATGATCTACAAATGATTAACATATGAATTGATCTATAGAATCAATGATATAATGATCTGTACAAGCGATTTATGAAATTAACCAAATCAGTTAATGAAGAAATAAAGAATAGATCATTAGTCTATGATAACACGCATAATTTTCTAAACTAGAAACTTCAAAAAGAACTTCAAGGAGAAACTAGTTAAGGCTAAGTATAATGATTTAGTAATAATTTAAGAATAATATAATTATATTTCTATATCTCTTCAAATATATATATATTATAGTTATAAGACTATTGCATAATGATTAGGTAGTCATTACTCAATTATTACAATAAAATTACATAGAATAATGAGGAAATCATTACATAGTTTTTATGCAATAGATAGCATTTAGTGTAGAAATTTTATTATAAATAAGCTGAGTTTTTCATCATGTATTGAGGAAGAAATTTAAAGAGAAAAACTTAGAAAATTTGAAGATAATTTATAAGTTAATAAAAATCTTTGCTAAATTGTCTCAGCAAATCAATCATCTGTGTCAAACATATTGTTACACTAAAAATCATTAGGATGATCTTCCTAATGTAGATCCTTAGAAAACTATGTTAACTTTGTTAAC